ATCATCAGCAGCATCATCATCATCATCATCAGCATCATCATCATCAGCAGCATCATCATCATCATCATCAGCAGCAGCATCATCATCATCAGCATCGTCATCATCATCACCATCATCATCATCATCAGCATCAGCATCATCATCAGCAGCAGCAGCAACATGTTCAGCATCATCATCACCTTCCTTCTGCTCCTCCTTCTCCTCTTCCTCCTCCTCCTCTTCCTCCTCCTCCTCCCACCATCCTCCTCCAACTCCTCCCCTTCGTCCTCCTCTTCCTCCTCGTTATACTCCCCCTCCTCCTCCTCCTCCTCCATCTTCTCCTCCTCCATAGGGCGAGTCGTTTTCAAAATGTGGCTCTCGCCTTAGCGCTACAAACACTCGCTTCAGACATGTGTAACAGTTTCACGGGTTGATAGCAGTGTTAAAATGTGGCTCTCGCCTTACCGCCGCGCGCACTCGTATTTTACTTGCAAGAGTTTCACAGATTGAGGGCGGTTCCTTTTTCTAAATGTGGCTCTCGCCTTACCACCGCGCACATCCTTAACAGTTGCAAGAGTTTCACGGTGTCTCGTGATCAGCGTACCAGAAACGGCGTGCTGTAAGGATTCCAGAGCACGAGTCTGCAACAGTTACGTTGGTTCGCGGTGTTGAAGCCCAACTAATGGCATTCTGACACCATTCAGGATCGTCAAGACGCAACAGTCCGGTTGATCCGTGGCGTTGGAATCCCGAGAACAATGTTTTGGCATGTTTCAAGGTCTTCAGCAATGGTTGCCTTCCAACGAAGCAGTTCCGTCAGTTGAAAGAACCCTTGAAGGGCCTATGAAGAGGGAGCTTGGAGGGAGGGCTTATTCCGACAGCGTTGTTCACTATTCCGCGTAATTACACTGGTCCTCCTCCTCCTTGTCTTGATGTCATCCTCCTCCTCCTCCTCCTCTTCCTCCACCTCCTCCTCCTCCTCCGCCTCCTCCTCCATCTCCTCCTCCTCCGCATCCTCCTCCTCCTCATCCTACGCCTCCTCCTCTTCATCTTCCTCCACCTCCTCCTCTTCCTACACCCAAGATGGTCCCAGGAGGTCGAGCATGGCTCAAAATAACATCCGACAGACCTACAAGAGGCTTCAATAGAGCCTCAAAATGGTCCGATATAGCTGAGAATGGCTCTGGATCGCCTCTAACAGCCTCCAGCCGAACATGGATCAAGATAGCCTCCAAGAAGTCTCAAGAAAACCTCAGATCGTGTCTGGTTGGGGTGGCAGGGATACGCGACGCGTCAAGTGTTTGCATGACGCCATTTTGGCAGGGTCGGGCCTCCTGATTCTTTTCCTGACGGCTGGAATGTGGGCGCTCCGCAGGGCTGGTGTGTAAAGTGGCGCCACTCACCGAAAGGGGGGGCTGCCCCAGGAAGAGAAGGAGAACGAGGAAAAGGACGACACGGGAGGACAGCAGCAGAGGAGGGGGAGGGGGAGGCGAGGAGGAGAGTGGGTCAGCTGGCACGGCAAGTGGCGGGCATCCCTCCCCCGCCTCCCTACTCCCCCTCCCCCTCCCACCGCCACCTCCCCCTCCACCGCCTCCCCCCTCCCCCTCCCCCGGCCCCCTCCCCCTCCCCAACCTCCCTTCTCTCCCTCCCCCTCCCCCTCCGCCGCCCCCCTCCTCCACCTCTCCCACCCCCTCTCCCTCCCCCGTCGCCTCCCCCTCCTCCCGGATCGCGGCAGGGGGCGGCAGCACGGGGGGGGCCTCAGCACCCTGCGTCGCACCGCGCAGACTGTGGGCCAGTTGGGAGTGTCCTCGCCAGCGACGGGCGGGGGCGGAGCAGGAGGAGGAGGAGGGAGGAGGGAGAAGGGAGGAGGGAGGAGGGAGGAGGGAGGCGCAGGAGAAGGAGGGAAGGAGGAATGAGAGAGGAGGTGAAGGAAGTGGAGGAGGGGGGGAAGGGCAGGGACGGCCTTCTCATCCCTCATCCTCCTCCTCTCCTCATCCTTCTCCTCCTCCTCCTCCTCCTCGTTCTCCTCCTCCTCGTCCTCCTCCTCCTCCTCCGCCTCTGCCTCCGCCTCCGTCTGCGCCTCCGCCTCCGCCTCCGCCTCCTCCTCCTCCTCCTCCTCCTCTTCCCGTTTTCCCCCTCCTTTCCTCCTCCTCCTCCTCCTCCTCCTCCTTCTCATCGTCCTCGTCCTCCTCCTCCTTTTCCTCCTCCTCCTCCTCCTCTTCCTCTTCCTCCTCCTCCTCCTCCTCCTCCTTCCTCCTCCTCCTCCCCCTCGTCCTCGTCCCCCTCCTCATACCCCCACGCATCCGCATCATCCACCTCATATTGCTCCTCCTCCTCCGCCTCCTCCTCCTTATCCTTCTCGTTCTCCTGCCCCTTCTCCTCCTATGCCTCCTCGTTCTCCTCCCCCGTGTCCACGCCTCCTGCTTATGGTCAACTCCCCCCTGTCCCACACAGAGACGCGTCTGTAAGGCAGGCTGGGCGTCTCGCCCGAGGCGTCCTCACCATCTACGGTCCTGAAACT